AAAAAAAAAAAAAAAAAGACACAGAGTTTTCTCACCAGAGCTCAGCCCTGTTTGCAGGGAAGTGGAGGCTTCCTAGAGGCTGCTTAACATTGTGGTGTAAAGGGGCAACTTGCTTGGGTTCAAGTCCTGCCTGTGGCACTCACCAGCTGTGTGACCTTGGGCAAGTGACTTAACCTTTCTGTGCCCCAGTCTCTTATCTGAAGATGGTGGTAATAACATCATCTTCCTAGTAAATATGTTAATACATGTTGGTATTACAAGCTTCACCTGGTACGCACACAATCAGCATGGCCAGGGTGGCTTAATAATTGTAATTATGGGATGGCCTTCCTCCTTGCTTCCATCCTGTTTATACAATATAAATTCCAGGTGGCCAGTGGCTTTTTGTCTGTTTTGTTCACTTGTGTGTTTCCAGTACCCGAAACCAATTGTTTCCCTGTTTTTCCTCCTTCAGCCCCAACCCAGGGAAGCATTTCTAGACCCCAGGATATTTGCAGCAGCAAAAATAATGGTAGTAATAATATATTTTCATGCCCAACAATGATCCTCCCTGATGTGGAGGAGAGTAGGCTGGAGGTGGGGACTTGTGCCACTGCCCAGAGTGGCAGTGCCTGGGGAACTGGGAGAGCAATTGGCTCAACTCTGGCCCAAGTCTGGACTGATGCCCCTGGATCTTCCAGTTTTTCAAAAGAAGGTAGAAGTACAGTTTTTCTTTGTTTTAAAATATCTTCTGATTACTTTTGTGAGCCAATATCTCCTGATTACTTTTGGCATTGGAGCCAAAGCCCTGCTGGCTGGTCAGCACCTGCCAGGGCCGAGTGGCAACATGGGCCTCTGGCTGAAACACTCACCCCAAACTCTGAATCTAGAATGTCTCTCCCTACCAAGGGCCCTACTCACTCCATTGCCCTTCTGTGGCTTCCTATGACTTGTGGCCTATGGCCTTCCAGGGCAGTGGGAATGAGGGGACACCCTCTCACCCTGGATCTCCCAAGGTAGGATGTCACCAGTACTGACCAGGAGATCAGGAAGATGGCCAGGAAGGGCACCGACACAGCCAGCTGGAGCACTCGCCAGTCCCGCAGGGTGAAGGCCAGGCCGGCCAGCACCATTTGGCCCATACTGTAGGCGCATCCCAGCACGGTCAGGGTGACAGCCCTCCTGTGGGTTGTGGTCCACTCCACCACTGAAGCCAATGCAGACATGTGCCAGTGAGGCCCCGGGTGGGGCTTAGTCCCCATCCTCTCCTGTCCCCCAGGGTGGGAGCAGGGTAGCCAGGGACTCACTCAGCGTTAACACAGATAGGAAGATGCCAGACATTCCAAAAGCAGTCATAAACCGGAGGCCACAGTAGACAAGGAAAGTTGGGGCAAAGATGGTGCTGGTGCCAGCCACGCCCACCTGCAAGCAGCTCCAGCTCAGTATCAGCTTCCGCCCAAACCTGTCACAGGAGACAAGCGTATGGCCCATGGGGACTGCCACTTGCCTTCTGAGGATTCAACAAAGGCAGGGGTCCTAGTGGGGGCAGCTCCTTCTTCTTTGAGCTTCTTGGAGTACATCCCTGGTGCTCTTGTATGAAAGCGGCACCTCTCTCTCAGGAGGCAGAGCAGCCTTGTAGTCAAGAACACAGGCTTCAGCATCTGACACAGGAGTTTGAGTCTAGCTCTGCCCTTCCTGGGTGACCTTGGACATGGAACTCAATGTTTTTGAGCCTCAGTTTCTCCCTCTGTAACATGGGGTATTCATCATTGTTCATAGGGTTGTTGTAGTGTACATGACTTGAGCAAAGGAGCCCACTCCTCGCCTGGAGCTGTGACAGTGGTGTCCGGAGACAAGCAGAGCCCATGACCTGCTCCCTGTGCCCTGCAGCCTCCAGCCGGACACGTGGGCTGCCTTTAGGCAACTCAGGCACAGTGGACAGAGCAGAGGTGTGTGAGCAGCACCCAAGTGGCAGGGGGCTGGCTGCATGTGCAGGGCTGCCCCAGCACAAGTGAAGGGAGCACATCAGGTAGCGTCACCTGAGCAAGGCTAGGAGATGGACCCCCATCCAGGGGCTTCAACTGGTGTGTGATGCCATCAGCTGAGAATGAGGGATAGTGGCCTCTGGCATCTTTAGAGGGATGAGAATGCCCTAACTGGCCACCAAGACCTCTGCCCTGGCTTTCATCTACCTTTCCAGGCCCCGGTGACCTGTGAGATGTCATTTGTCCCCTGACTACACATGCCTGACACCCTTTCACCTCTTCCCCCCTCTTTGTGTAGTCCAGACTAGGCCACCCATTAAGTCTCTGCCCAGATGTCACTTTCTCCAGTCAGCCTGGAGGTAGCTCTCCAGGTAGCTCTGGTTCTATCCCTGTCCCTCAGCCCTGTTGTTTCTTGGGTCTGTCTCTCTAGGAGACTGTCAGTTACCTGAGGGCAGGGGCTGCACAGCACCTACACACAGTGGCGCTCACTAAGCATGGTCAATGGCTGAAGGTTGATTTCCCTCAGCACAGACTAACTTGGTATGAGGTTCACAGCCAAGTTCTTGGGAGTCTCTGGGAGTCTTCATCCCCTGGGGCCTGGTGATCGGTACCCAGACCCTGGAGCCCTGTCTTAGGGACTGATGTCCATCTGATCCTTTTTTACCTTCTGTTCCACAATCTGTGATTTATGTTGAGGGAGCCAGAAGGGGAGAGACACTCACCGGTGGGAGAGGAGACCCCAGACGAAGTTTCCCACTAGGATCCCAGACATGAAAATGGCCTGGGCCAGGGCCTTCAGGATCCGGGAGCCACACACCAGGTCCCACTGCAGGAGAAGGAGGCAGAACAGTCCGGCTCAGCGGACACTGGGCCTGGGTGTGGCTAAGGGAGCAGCCTGAGTCCTTGGGCTCCCCCATCCACAAGGGGATCCCTAGGATCCTGGTGCCAGGCCACAGAGGAGGAAGGACTCTGTCAGCAGCAAGACAGAGTGTGACACGGCCCTGGGTCTGGCAGTGTGATGGCCATGCTGCATGAGATCTGGTTGCCAGTCTTGCAGATGGCAGGCTCTCATGAGCAGGACGGCCTCAAAGAAGCAGAAGTGGTAGGAAAGTTAACAATATCTTTGTAAAAAGAAGTTTGGCAGGCAGTGTCTGGCAGTGGTTAAACCGCAAGCTTGAATTCTACCACTGTGGGGTACACTTGCCTCAGTTACTGCCCCTGGCTGGGCTGTCTTCTGTAGAGACTGGCCTGTGACGCCATGCTCATCGGGGCATGAGGGTGACTACGGAGGGCTTGGCATGGTTCACCGTGACTTTTTCAGTGGCTGCACCCCCAACCTGGGCATCTGTCATCTGAACACCCCTACACCCTCCATCCCAGCCAGTCATGGAGGCCTGATAGTACTGCCGGCCTCTCTCCATTCCATGCTTGCTTGGGCGACTGCAGGAGTCTTCAGTGAGTCCTCCACCCCTCCACCCTGCAAAGTGACCTTTTTGAAGGTACAAGTCAGACCTCATCTCTTCCTAGCTCCAACCCCTCCATGACTTAAAAGAAAATCCCAGCTCATCACCCCTGATCCTGGCCCTGACCCTGACCCTAATCCATTAGTTTGGCCCTACCCGCCGTTCCAGCCCCACCCCGCCTGTGCCCAGGTGTACCGGGCCCTGCTCTGCTCCTTCCAGCCCCGGACACTCTCCTGCTCATGATTTTTGTCCTGGCTGGGCTCTCCTGACCGTCACATGACTGATTCCTTCTCTTGTCATCCATGTTGCCTCTTCACAGAAGCCTCCCCGACCACCCTGCCTCTGCCTCCCCACTCTCAGGACTGGCTTTTTTCCTTCATGTTCACTTATGACACCAGGGCGCACACCCTGACTGTTCGGATGGAATCAGATTCGGTACATCAGCTGCTTGTCTCGGGGCAAGTTACTTGACATCTCTGTGCTTCCTTTTACTTACTGATTAAATGGGAACAATAATAGGACCCCCCACCCACCCCCCCACACGCACACGCACAAGATTGTGATGAGGCTGCAACTACAGGAAAGCATTTGGAAAAGTGCCTGCCATTTAGAAGGTGCAGGACGAGGACGTGTGCTGCCGTGTCACTGGCTCAAACTCTGAGTGAGTGAAGTCCGCTCCTCGAAGACTCCCTTGAAATCCTGGATCCTGGCCTGGATCCACATCTGGACCATCATCACCAGTCAGTACATATGTGTCATGTGACAAAAATTCTTTGCTTGGCCAAGCCTTGGTTAAGCTCGGACCATTCCCCAAGCCCATCTGTGCACTTGCTAGTAAAATTCAGTTTTAGCAAAGAAGCCCCCACCCCATCTTCAACATCTGGTCACCTGACAGACCTGATTAGGTTCCTTACCCTCCACGCCCCCTCCCAGGTGCGGTCTGATCATCCTAGCCTGTCTCAGCAAGAATCCTGTCAGGTTGGTTTAGCCAGAACCCCCCTCACTTCAGATGTCCCCCTGTGACTGAGTAGCTTGGAGTCATAGCTGAAAAGTGCCCCAGGGCAGTGCCTGTGGCTCAAAGGAGTAGGGTGCTGACCCCATATGCCAGAGTTGGCGGGTTCAAACCCAGCCCTGGCCAAAAAAAAAAAGAAAAGTGCCCTAACAGGGTCAGGACAGAGTGAGGCCAGAGAGGTAACCAGGTGCTAATGTCCAGAGGTGCCACCTGGACGCCCACTTGGGTGCCCCCCAGCACCCATCCAGGGGCCTGGGAGCTAGTCCTTGCCTATAGACTGATTCCTGTCACTGGGTCCCTTTGTAGGACCATGTGGACACAGAGGGGCTAAAAGCTGACTGAGAGTGAGGGGGCTCTGGGGAGGCATGTCCCTTCCAGGACAGGACCATTTTGTGTCCAGTCAACTATGATCTGTGACCCTGAGCTCTAAGGTGCCAGAACTGGAATGAGTGGGGGAAGGGGAGGCCCTCACCTTGGTCACGATGGTGGAGGTGAAGGTGCTGTGGTCATAGACCCAGCCGTCCAGGCATGGCTCTGTGGCTGCCTCGCTCCAGTTGGTGGCCGTGGTGTTGGGTTCCAGGAGCTGCCACTGTGGTTGGCGGAAGCGGCGACACTGGTGGGGTTCGTTGTTGGGGCCGGGTGGGATGGAGACGGCCAGGAGGGACTCAGGGGCAATATTTGCAGGGACCTCAGAGCTATTGTCCAGCATGTGTGCCCAGCATCGGTGGCTTGGGACAGCGGCCGAGAAGTTCTCCAGAAGGATGTGGGAGGGCAGTAAGACAGAGGGGAGAAGGAGGGTGAAGACCTGTAGGGCCTGGAAGAGACCCACACCCCCAGCTTGCTCTAAGAGCTTCAAGAATGCCATGAACAGAGCTGCCCCGGAGTCCGTGAACAGGCTGGCACCTGCCTGTGCTTGGAGTCCACTGCAAAGGCCAGAGTCTGCACTGCCAAGACCTTCTCCCTCCCTCTCCCAGGCTGGGTGGGCGCGGAGTAGCTGTCCAGTGACTGGTTGAGTCAGTCCCAAGATGCCCTGAGATCCTCCAAGGGAACGCCTCCTTGTTCTGTGTCCAGAGTGACCACTCTTCGGGGCAGGGGGAGGGAGTAATCAGGGGACAAAGCTCATTGTGCCCAGGCTGCCTACCAAGTCCAGACCAGGGAAGCCTGAACCGCCTTCTGGGTTCTCCAGCATCCAAAGCTAAAAGTTAAGCAGTTAATTTTTTAAAGAAGACACAATGCTGTGATATTACCAATTTCAGTTGTGGGAGAAAGAGTTGTTGCCTCATTGTGTTAGTTAAAACTTAATCTGCAAGGGCTTCTGGGTGAGGAAGGCGGGCTCAAGTCTCAGGGCCTGAGGCCTCAGCAGCTCCCTGCTGGCTCACTGATCTCATTCTTAAATCTTAAATCTTTAGAACCTTCTACAGGGGGTCTTTTAAATCTGAAAACTGTTGGCCTAACCTAAGTCCATCCTGACAATCAGTTCAAGCCCGACGTGAGGCTTCGGACAGGCCTTTCCCAGGCGGGCGGGGGCAGGGTCCAGGTGGGCAGCGCTGGCAGGAGCATCGGCCTGTGCTCTTTTCCTTCCTGAAGCGCACCTCCCACCAGGCAGCGCCAGGGAGACCAGCTTGCCGACGTGCTATTTCAGGAAGCTTCTATTCCAAGGTTTTAGGTTGCCTTTAATAGACAGTGAGCTCCCTCAGTGTGGAAACCATGGCTACCATTTCCTGGTATCTCTTAGAAGTCCCTATGGCCCTGGAGCTGAGCAGGTGGGAAGGTTGGGGAATTGAGCAAAATCACACCTCTGTGACCCAAGGTCTGAGGCCACTGGGGAGGGGCAAAGCCATCCCTGCCCTAGGACCCACTTAGGCAATGCCTCTTACTGAAGCTGTCCTGGCCTAGAGGGCTTGCTGTGTGCCCTCTCATTCATTCCTTCTAGCAGTCCAGGAGAGAAATGGTGCTAATTCTCTTAAATGAGGGAACTGAGGCTCAGAGAGGGCAGGCAGCTCACCCAAGGTCACACAGCAGAGCCTGGATTCAAGCCAGACACCTAAAACCCGAGCTTTCTGTGATGCCTCTGGGCAGTTGCTGTGTGGTCTAGCCTGTCATGGACCAAATCCCAGCACAAAGCTGAAATTCAGGATGTGGGTCAGAATTAGGGTCAGCTCGAAGTCACTGCCCGGAGTGTGAGAGGGAAGCTGCTGAGTCAGTTTGGGACTCAGAAGTGCTGGAAGTGTAGGTGAGGTGTGGGTGGGTGTCTGGACCCTGAACTTCCGAGAATCTCCCTAAGGGGCCCAGCCAAGATGGCAGCCAGCCAGGAAGCAGGGAGGCAAGATTCTAGGCCCGGATCTCAAAGCCCAGGCTCCTTCCTGACTCTGCCTCTCCAGGCAGGAACTCATTATGAATTTTAAAATAGCAAATAGAGATTGGGGGTGGGGGAAGAACCAGCCCAAACTGAAGCACAGAAAGCTGCAAGAGTTGGGCTGCCTTGGCCAAGCTGCCCAGAGGCTGAAACTTGCATGCAGACTCCTACTAGGTTCTGGTGTTGTGCAAACACCCTCCTAATGGGGCAGGCCTGCACCTCAGAAGCAGTGGCCTCCTCCATCTGGCCTCTGGTCTCTGGTCTATGAATTGAAATGTTGGTATGTTGGTGTTTGCAAACCTCAGCAGGTATCAGAAGCCATAGGAGGGGGGCTAGGCTGGGCCCAGGAATGTACATTTTCAAATAAGCTCCCAGGAGATTCTGCTGCACTGGGATCCAGGACTTGCTTTGAAAGGCTGCTAAACTACAAGGTGTTCAGGAAGAAATTCATTTCTCTTTATCCTTCCTCTTTCCATATGTTTTAAACTGTTTTTTTTTTCTTCTTCCCTGCCTTTGGCCTGTTATGGACACCCCAGGCTTTGCTTACAGCAGAAGGTCAAACCTCCCGGATTTGCCAGAAGGCTCCCGGAATCTCCAACTGACTTCCCCTTTGCAGGCCAAGGAATTTTTAATTGGTATTTTCTATTTTTCTGGGGCTGCTGGGGGCAGGGCTCGGTGCAGCTGCTCCGCCACCTGGTGGTCATACCTGGGACGGCAGCATTTTCAGAACCAGGCTTGTCCTTGCCTAGGTGTCCATTGTCTAAGGGTCCCCAGGTAGAGGTGGGGAGAGGGTGGCTTGGGGAGGAACAAAGGCAGCCCCAGATTATAGTCACCAATGCCTCTGGTGTGTTTCACTAAACTTATTTATGTAAAGTGAATCTGGCGTTACTATAGAACCTGAATTGCCTTTGGAGCTGATTTTTCTAGTCAAGGAAATCCCATAGATTAGACCAAAGGCAAGGATGGCTACCAAATAACCTCAAACGGTCCACTTCCCTTCTCTGAACGGTAGTGTCTTCATCTCCAGGACGGTGTCTTCCATGTAAGGTAGTAAGATTGAATTAGATGATGAATGAGCCTGACAATAAATATTAGCCATTGCCACGATCATCACTGTCACCACTATTACCATTGCCATCATCATCACTATCATCACCATCATCGTCATCACCATCACCATCACCACCACTACCATCATCATCACCAGCATCACCGTCACCATCACTATCACCATGATCACCATCATCCTCATCACTGTCATCACTGATTAACATCATGATCACCATCACCATCACCATAACCATCACCTTGTTTGGCCTCTCCGTGCAATTCTGAAAGAGCCTGGAGTTGGCAGAAGGTGAGGATCTTTCCTAGATTCACATTGTGGTGGGGACTGGGCCCTCCAGGGGCTCAGATCCTAACTCCTGTTTCCTTGCTTCTCCACTGTATCTGTGTGAAGATGCCCCATGATCCATCAGAAAGTCAAAGAAACAGTCACCATAAAATATTAAATTATCTTCCTCTTCTAGAGAACAGGCCTCCTCCACTGGGCAGGAGGTACTGATGAACCACAAGAAGGACAAACCTGGATCTACCTCTTCAGTTCTTTACTTCCTCCTGGAGGGGCACAACATTGGGGATTTCCCCCACTGACAACACCACAAGCGTAAACCACTTCTTTCTTCCCTTTGGAACTCCTCTTCAAGTCACTGTCTGGCAGCCACTTAGAGTCCCTGGGTCTCAAGTGTTATAAAACCTGATCTTTGCAAATCTTCCTAATTCACCCACATTCCTTTTTGCAGGGAGAGAGGATGAAGGGAGCCCCTTAAATCAATTCTCTAGTGTCCGCTTACAGCATGGATGTTGTGAAAACACAGACTCATGTGGGGAATGAAAGGAAATCCCCTTGTCCGCTCTGGCCCCAAGAATCTCCCTGCCCCGGGGGAACCATGTGAACCCCTTTCTCTATATATTCAGAAATAATGTCAGCAAAAATCTTTGCAATTAGCTGTTTTTACTTCCGAAGTCCTACATGCATGTGGTGAACAACCCAGATGGCCTAAGAGAGTGTAAAATGACAAGTAAAAGCCCTTTCTCCCCTTCTCACCCCCACATACCCAGACAGTACTACCACCAACAATGAGCGTTCTTCCAGAACTATCTTAATTCATCTTCAAATACATGCATAAAGTTTTAAATTGTTGGGCGCCAGCCCCATATACTGAGGGTGGCGGGTTCAAGCCAGCCCTCCAGCCACAAAAACTGCAAAAAAAATAAAAAAAAAGTTTTAAATTGTTGAACAGGTAGTAAATTCGCATCATTCAAAAATAGAAAATGTTCAGAAATGCGTGCAGTGAGAAGGCCCTTCTGCCTCCTTCCACGCGGTTCCGGCTTGCCACCTCCACCCTCAGGCAGCCATTTTTAGTCTCTTATGCATCTTTTCTGATTTTCTTTCTGAAAATGGAAGCAAGGACAAATGTACATTCTTATTTTACTCCTTTTTACACAAAAGGTAGTTTTTCCCTTTGCGTTTATTTCCCACAACAGTGAACCTTGGCTGCCTTTTCTTCCTCATCTGAGAGCGTCTTCCTCGGTGTTCTGCGGGTGGGTAGTATTCCTCTGTACAGATTTGCTGTACTTTACTCAACCAGTCTCCAGTTCACAGCCACTTGAACTGTGTCTAACACTCTGATATTACAATGATATTACAATCAATTACATTTGATCATTACAATGATCAAATGAATAGCTTTGCACATATCCTAGTTTGAATGTGTGTTAGTATGTTTATAGGATAAAATTCCAGAAGTGGGATCATGTCATTGAAAGGGAAGTGAGCTTTGAGAGGCAGCCCGTCGCCCTCCCCCATGACACACCTGGGTATACTGTCCCCAGTTCCCTAACTCAGGGAGCTAGCATCACACTGGTGGTTTCTTTTCTTCCCCCAATATCATTGGTTAAAAAAAAAAAAAAAGGCACCTGAGTGTAGCTTTATTTTGCATTTCTTATGAGTGAGACTGTCTTTTAATATACTTAAGATGTATTTATATTTCTTTTTCTGTGAACTATTTCTTCATATTCTTTGCCTATTCATTTGCAGTTTGTTGTTTTCTTACTAGTTTCTATGACGACAAACTCTTTGTAGACTAGGAAGGTTGGCTCTTTGCCTGTAAAATAAGTTGCAAATATTTTTTTCAGTTTGTCTTTTAGCGACTCATGTTGTTATTGACACTTTTTTTGCATGCAAAATATTTTCGTAATTGAATTTATCAATTTTTCTCTTTTTGGGGTTTGGATCTTGAGTCATAATTCGAAAAGCCTTTTCCATGCCATGATAAAGGAGTCATTTCATGGTGTGTTTTTTTCAATGAAGAATGAAATGGCGTTGGATTTAATCACTGGCCTTTCCAGCATTTTTAGAGTTGACAGTACGACTTTGCGTCTTAAATCCATGAATATGATGAATAATATTAGTGGATTTCCTAGTGCCAAATCTTCCTTTCATGGCGAGTTGTGTGTTATCCCTTTAATGTACTACTAGATTCTGTTTGTTAATGTTTTATTTAGAAGTTTTCATGAATCTTCACATATAAGATGGGGCTGTAGTTTCTCTTCTTTTCTTCCTTTTTTGGCAAAAATCTTTGTCATGTCTTTTAGTTTCAAAGATGTACACATTTCATTCAAGAGGATTTGGATGTGTTTTCTTATGCTGTGCCTCGGTTTACATAATGGAGTGCTTTCCTTCTGTCTTCCGCCTGCCGGGCTGTTATCATGTGATCCGTTATCGTGTGATCCACTGTCATGTGATCCGCTGTGGTCCAGCCCAGCCAGCCTGGCCCTTGATATGTAGAGAAGCTAAGAGGCAAGCAGGGCCTTAGGGAGCTTGGGGGTGGGGAGGAGAGGTGGCAGAAGAGGGTCTTGGCTGAGCTTGCAGTTTCCAGGAGGTCAGATTTTAACCAGACGGTCTAACATCCTTGGATGGGTAGCGGCTGTCCAGTGCTCAGGGGCAAAGGTTTATTCTCATTCCCTAGTGTCCCTCATCACTGTGTGCCCATTTGAACTTTGACCAGCTG